ATTATCCATACTAGGACTCCAGAGTTAAAGTTTTAATGTTGAAAGGAATCTTTTAAAAAGTCCAATTCTCCTACAGCCATACTAGGACTCTAGAGTTAAAGTTTTAATGTTGAAAGGAACCTGTTAAAAAGTCCAATTCTCCTACAGCCATACTAGGACTCCAGAGTTAAAGTTTTATTGTTGAAAGGAATCGTTTAAGAAGTCCAATTCTTCTAATTAGGAGGCCCTGAACAGAGTGGGTGAACAATGTGCAACAAAACTCAAAACCATTAAAAAGGCCAGGCTTACTGGTCAGATGGAGACTAGTAGAACCCTTGAGACTCTATGGCCCTTGGTCACCCTTCAGGTCTGGAACTGAACTCACCCATGTCATGGTTTTCAGTCAGACACAGAAATTAACATTATATCCCTACATACACAGAACAATTTCTTTCAGATTTGATTTTAAATATAAAGAAAACAATATCTCAAGACTAATTGAGACACAAACCACAGTCTCTACAACAAGAGTATTGTAGTTTGGAAATAGAAAATGAAACAGAAACAGAAAATCATAAAAAAAAAAAAAAAAAACAACATCAGCTATTCTGTCAGATCCTGCAGTACCAGGGGACAAGCTTTATAGCTACCAAAAGACAATGTACCAACACTAATGACAAGCAGTGAAAGAATCTGAATTCTCATGTTTACAAGCAAGCAAGCTACCAAACAAAGAATTTAAAAGATGATCTGTCAGTGATTATCAAAGTACATTAGATTTCTGCTATCAGATATTGAATTCTATATTTGGAGGAGAAAGGAGGCAGGCAGAAATCCAAACATGAATTACTCACTTTAATGAGAAAGAGAAAAGTCAACAAGTTGAAAATTTAAAAAAAATATTTATTCTAAAATGCTAACTGTGGGATAGTAAAATTCCATGAAATATGAAAGGTGTTTAAAAAAATATTTATTCATGCACTGGAAAGGCTAAAAACAAAAACAAAAACACAAACCTATACTAAATGGATTGTCTGTGACTGGTGGAACTGTGGGTAATTTTCTCAGTTCTGTTTCCTTAATTGTTGTACTCTATAAAATTTTACCAACTAATAATAATTCTATAATCAGAAAAATAAACATTGAATAAAAGTTATAGTTTAGTTTTAAAAATGTTTCTTTGCTTGTACATTTTTATTTTAAAAAAGTTTATTTGATAAGGATGGGCAACTTAGACTGGCTATTAAAAATGGGGCGCATAAAGGCACAAAGTGGCTCGCTTACAAGTTTTCAAGAGTGTGCTTAGTGCAGAGTGAGGGGAGTAGGGATAGACTCCCCATTGAATAGTTTCCTCTTGTCTAGATGGGTCTGGTGAAAGGGGATGTCGGAGGATGGGATAGCATTCTTTTGATTCAATATCATGACTAATTGCGATGGTCACAACTGGAAAGGTAGACGTTGTGTAATAAAATGGGGGAAGTAGTTAACCTTACATTCCAAGAACAGAGGACCCCAGGTACATCCAGAGGGAAGAGCATGAACAGAACTTGGGATCCTAACCAGAAAAGCAGTGACCACCCAAGACAGAAGCAGAGGTGATGGAATAGATAGAACAACTGAGGGTTCTAGACCCATAGAATGAGAAAGGCTGTGTGCCTGTGGGCAGGAGGCTCACTTGCAAACTGTGCCCTTTGGTCATTTAATAAATATATATTTTCCATGTGTTTTGTGTACATTAAAAAAAGAGAGAATAGAAGCAAATACTGTTAAGCTTTGGTGCATGGAGGTGATTGTAATCATCAGAATAATGACTGGTTGAATGTAAAACTGATGTTCTGCCCTGCAAACTATCACTCAATTCACAAAAAAAGCTTAAAAAAAAAAGGAGCCCTTTGCCTCTGTAAATTGTAAAGGAAAACACTATACATACTAAAATGTAAAAGATGTGTAAAGCTGTCTAAAAATATTCTAAAGCTTTTAAGTTTGTTTTGAAGTTAAAAAAAAAAAAGTTTATTTGCCTTTTATTTGCTTTCCCCTCCTGTGAGTACCATATAAAACGGCATACTTTCTTTAAAGATTTGTATTTGTCTGGCAGGCTTTAAAATGAAGAGTAGAGCTTTCTAAAATGTTCTGTAAACGTTTTTAAAATTAGAATAATAAAATGTATTTTTATTTTGCTATTTACAACTTGGAGTCCTGATGTGGTGCTATAAGATAAGCACTGGACTTTTATCCTCAAGGTCAACAGTTCAAGTCCACCAGCCATTCCTAGGAAACCCTATACAGGGTCACTGTGAGTCAGAATGAACTCGAAAGCACTAACAACATTTATAACTTATATAACCATGATTAAAATTCAAGTATTAAAGTGCTTTTCTTTAAACTTTTGCATACTTCCAAAGGAACAGGAAGAATCTGATTAAAATTTAGCAAATACCCCACAATATAACTGTGAAATGAACTCAAACTGTTGCTTTTTTCTCAAAAAAATCTCTAGGAAACAACAAAAACTCCCTTCAAAAAAACTCAACTGTGTAGTTGAATTAAAAAAAACAAAAACAGGTCCTTACTGATGCCCAGGTTAAATATTTTAGTTTTTACAATCCAGGATAAATACTTTGTGAACATGAATAAAACAGCTTTAGCAACAAAATATTTTGCATATAAAATTATAAGTGTAATGATACAAAACTCAAAATAAAAAACATTTTGTTTGATCAGCCTTATAATATATTTTGTGAAAATCTGCCTTTAAATTCTATTTTACTGAGTTATTTTTTATGTCCCCTTCAAAAGTCACATTAATAATATTTTAAAGAAAAGTAGAAGAGAAAATAAAAATCATTATGTCAGTATTATACTAGCATTGCCTTATTTATGTTTTATAATTACATTTTTGTCATTCATAAATCATGAAATTTAAAAACTATAAAATGAAATGGCCACGCTTTTTATTCATCTTGAAAAAGTACCTACTCCTATTCTTACAATTCATTTCTTATTCTTATTTTTAAAACTTTTAGCATAGTGGTTACCAGTTGGGCTCCTAAGCTCAAGGTCAGCAGTTCGAAATTACCAGCTGCTCTGTGGGAGAAAGATGAGGCTTTCTGCTCCCATAAAGATTTACAGCCTCGGAAACCCTGTTCCAGGCCGCTATGAGTTGGAATTGACTCCACGGCACATAACCACCACTACCATGAGTCGGAACCAAGCCCACGGCACACCACCACTACCACCGCCATTGCAAACTAGGTGACGATTTACAGAGCAGATCATCATTTGTTTTAAATTAAACAAACAATACACACTGTTTGATCTCAATGACTGCAATTCGCTCAGTGTAATATCACCTATCCCACCACCTCCTCCCTGTGGTTCTTCTTAGGATTAATTTCTGATATTAACAGAACAGCCATAAACTGCCTGGGTGGTGAAAAAATAATGCTTCTAGCTGCTAAGTGAAAAGCTAGAGGCTTGAGCCCACCCAGAAGTACCACGGAAGAAAGGCCTGGTGATCTATTTCTAAACTCAGCCAATGAGAACCCTAGGGAGAACAGTTCTGCTCTGACACACAAGGGATTCACCATAAACTGAGGGCAATCTGACAGCCACTGGTTACCTATAATGCTGTTAGCCACAGATTTAACTGAGACCACTTTTCACATGTAAACTTTCTTTAAAAATATGAAACATTCATTAAAAGTATGATGTTGGAAATGTTCATAAGTAGTGCCAAAAGTCAGTTTGAATCTTAAAGTCTATTAATTGTCTTAAGCCTTGGAAACCCTATTCAGGGTCGCTATGAGTCGGAACTGACTAGACAGCACTTAACCACCACCACCACCATGTAATACAAGGAGCCTTGGTGGTGTGCATGCAAATTCATCAGCCACTGTGGGAGACATTTGTAAAGATTTCATCTTGGAAACTCTCTATATAGTTGCTATAGGCAGAATCAACTCAATGGCAGTGGGACCAGGTACTACAGAAACAGATGAATAGAATGCAAAACATCAAACTGAACCAAAGCAAAGCAAAAAACTCCATTCAGTCTTGAATTTGGCTTTTATTTTAAAATATACTTAGCATAAAACTGTCATAAGAGAGAAAAACAATAAAACACAAGAAATGGAATATTTTCAAATACTTTTTAAGCTACACATAAAATTAATAAGATAGCACAGACCCAACTTACAGAAAGTAGTCCCTAAAATGCAACCTGTTAAATATAATTTTGAAATAAAAAGTGTCTTTTCAGATTTTCCAACGTACTAATATGTTACAAAGTGCCCCAGTTTCCTTTTAGTTAATAATAAAGGGTCCATATTTAATTGCTTTATTTAAAATTTTTAGATTCAGTGTTGGTAAAAATGACCATATCTCTAAATTCTTAATCAGAATTATAAAAATATGAGCTCCTATAGCTCCTGTATGCTACCCAAACAGAAATACCTTCAGTGATACTTCTGGATAACCATGGAGACATTGCACTAAAATCAGTAAGTCCATATCTGATGTTCATTTTTAAGGAAAGTTAATTTTCTTCTTGCTACAAACAAACTTAATGTCAACCCAATTACAATCACATTTCAAAATATAAAAGCACAGACAGAATAAAGAATATACTATACCCAAATATTCCACTGTGAAAACAATAAAAATAATAGAATCTTAAATACTGATACTTACTTTTAATTTTTCATTCACCTAAGTAGTTATTAATAGGTATTAAAGTCAACACTGCTAAATCCAATCCCTTCCAGATAATGTAGAAAAATGGTTTGTTTACATATGCAGCATGAGCACTGTCCCATCTATAAATTTCAATTACATTTCTGTTCATTGGAAACTCTACCAGTAGTAGAAACAATCAAGACAATGTACAAAAAAATATATATTGTCCCTATAACTTACAATGCACAGAAAAATATCTACAAAAATGGAAATATTTATCCATTCAGGTTTCTAATAAATTGGTGACGAAGTTAACCCACTCTCTATTTCTTTTTAAGTAAAGATTGAATAGTTAAGGATGGTTTACTTTTATCCCTGTTAGCTTGACACATATTTAAAAATATTTGCCTGATTATAGTTTAAGTTAGCATCTTATTTTTAATCACAGTATACATGGCATTTCTTAATTTAGCAACAGAAAGGCACAATTAACAAGCAATAAAATTCAGTACCTGAATTATTAAAAGTGATGTATAGAACAATTACAAATAAAGTACATTCAACACAGTATACAGAACTGAAAAAAAAAAAAAAATTAAAGGAATCCAAAATTTGTTTTTGTGAAAATTTGGTCTGTTAAAAATGTCTCCCATGTTCAACATCATGGGTTACATGAATAGTGATGGCAGTGTAAAAAGAGACAGTAAATTAACATGTGGTAGCATATGAATTCTCATCTAGTAATTATGCAAGTCAATTAGGAAATGGCTTTCATATAAATAGATGTTTAATGTAGCTGTTGATAACAACATACCTGCATTAAGTCCAAATACACAGGCACAACTGTTTGCATATTATTATTGATTTTATAATAGACCCCCATACTTTTCAAAACATAGGTATATTATTTTATATATAAAATATATTAGATATATAATGTATATTATGTACCTTAATATATGTTATATATAACTTGAATTCATAACAGTACTAAAACTCTCCAAATGCTATACGAGCATTCTAAATAGACATTTATTTTCTTATTACTGAAGTAGCTCACTTCACCTAAAACAATATCTGGATGTGCAATGATAAAATGCACAACAATTCTTACGAATTTACTTAAATAATTATTTAAGTTAAATTCCTACAAAAGCCTAACTCTGATCTGGCTTTTTCCTAGAATATATTTTTGGATATCAATAACCGATATCCTTCTTTCTTGTCATAAACAACATCTCTCATTCAAGAGATGCCAATAAAGGAAAATACATAAGGAACCAAGCATGAGATAGAGAAACCGACCATTCCGTAGGTAATATACCGATATGGAAGTTCAACTTCCATGTGTTGCCTTGCTTTCCGAATATCATCACATGGTATATTAAAAATTTTACAAGCTAAGGGAATGGTGACCTTTTTCATAATATCTCTGACTACTAATACAAATGCCATCCCAATGAGGATTCGTAAAATGGCTTTTCCAAACAGAGTCACAGTAATGGGGGGCCTAGCTAAAGGTAACATATCTAAAGGAGGATCTACTACTAGACCCATGCTATACACAACATGTGATCCACATGCAATGCCAGCACCACTTCCTAGAATCTCAGCTGTGTCTCCTCGGGATGTACTCCAGGTGTCAAGGGTGAAAGAAAAAATCCCCAAGGCTAAATGAAGCCCAATGATGATTAATGGAGCATATTTGTGAGTTTGGTTGAAGTTGTCAATCAGGTCAATAAATGGATAGAAGACAGCTAAGATTAAAATGGCATACAGGAATCCAGCAATAATATCCTGAGAAAAGAGAAAAGTATAGTTATTTAGGATAATATTTTTTACATTTAAAAAATAATATCTATTCCACATTTGACATGTGGAATAGATTTAAATTTAAGGAAGTTGTCAAATTCTCAGAGAAATTTTTCCTCATAGACTATATGATAACCCACTATTGCCACAGAGTTGATTACGACTCATAATGACCCTATATAGGGTTTCCAAGCCTCATCTTTCTCCTACTCAGAGGCTGATAGGTATGAACTTCCAACCTTGTAGCTAGCAGTCCAGTGCTTATCCTACAGCGCCACTAGGTCTACTCATATTTTTCAAAGAAAAAAAATCCCATTTTCATACATTTCAATATATCATTATCTCCATGATCACTTGAAAAGACTACAAAGGCTGAACAAATACCTGAGTAGTTTCTTGTTCTCATTCAGTCATCAAACACTTATTGAGTACCTACATATTCCTGGCACTATTCTAGGGGCTGAGAATATACTACTGAGGATGACTAGACCCTGCTCTCACAGAACTGACGTTTTATTGGAAGAAGACTGACAGTAACCACATAAGAAGACTATACATATATTTTCCTAATTTTAGATAGCTATAAGTGTTATGAAGAAGTTAAAGCAGGAAAATGAGAGAGAATTGAACATGACCTTATTAGAGTGATCAGGTAAGGCTATCTGAGAAGAAGATACATGAACAGACTTGATTCTCAAAGGTGTCATCCCTATCTCTAGATCAAAGGAAAAAGATCTCAGGGAGGGGGAGTATGAAGTGCTGAGACACTGGGACACAAAAGAATTGTTGAGTTCAGTTAACTAAGACAAGTCTAGTGTGTTACATAACATTTTATAAACAGAAAAAGATATGTAAGATACAAATAAAATCATAAAATCAATATTCATGAAATCATTGTTCCCCGAAATAACTATAATATTGTTGAATATTATATATATGACATATGTGCATATTATAAATACATTGTACTGATTGTTTCTACTTAATGTTAGATTAATGGGTATGCTACCTCCTAGATTCCATCACTCTGCATCCTCCCACGAGAATATTACTAATGTGAATTTTGACTTATTAGCTATTTTTTTAAAAATGGTTTTGTCCCATGTCTTCAAAGTATTATTTAGTTCTGCTTTATACTGCACGTTATAAAATGCTAACATACAGTACACAGTTTCCTTTGATGAACTTTTTTACATTTAAAAAACAGAGCTTTAAATATTCATTCATGTTCGTATACGTAGTTTCAGGTCAATTCATTTCTACAACTGTGTGACATTTTGCCTTGGTTATACATTTTATTTATCCATTTCACTATGATAGTTACTGAGGTTGTTTCCAGGTTTTGGTGTAATTGGTTATGACTGAGCCTGGATGCTTTCTTAGTAGGCAGCTACTCTTCAAGGAAGGAGCTCTGGTAGCGTAGTGGTTACAAATTGGGCTGCTAACTTCAAGGCCAGCAGTTCAAAACTACCAGCCATTCCATGGTAGAAAGATGAAGCTTTCAGCTCCCATAAAGATTTACAGCCTCAGGAACCCAATACAGGGTGTCACTGTGAATCAGAACCGACTCCATAGCATACTACCACCACCACCATCACTCTTAAAGCAGCCAGAAATATTAAAAACAATGCTGTGTTCTTTTTTGAGATGTTCCCTGATACAGATCTGTAAACATTTTCCCAGCGCATACGCCTAGGGACTATTTCAGGAGCTATTCTTACTCGTTGTTGTTGTTGTTGTTAGGTGCCACTCAGTCGGCCTCCAACTCATAGTGACCCACAGTGTACAACAGAACAAAACACTGCCCGGTCCTGCGCCATCCTCACAATTGTTGTTATGCTTGAGCCCACTGCTGCTGCCACTGTGTCAGTCCATCTCATTGAGGCTCTTCCTCTTTCTCATTAACCCTCCACCTTACCAAGCATGATATCCTTCTCCAGGGACTGGTCCCTCCTGATAATATGTCTGAAGTATGAGAAGTCTGGCCATCCTGGCTTCCAAGGAGCATTCTAGTTGTACTTCTTCTAACACAGATTTGTTTGATCTTCTAGCAGTCCATGGTACTTTCAATATACTCTTCCAACACCATAATTCAAATACATCCATTCTTCTATAATCTTTTTTATTCATTTCACAAGCATATGAGGCTATTGAAAATACCATGGCTTGGGGCAGGCACACCTCAGTCCTCAAACTTATATCTTTGCTCTTGAACATTTTAAAGAGATCTCGTGCAGCAGATTTGCTTAATGAAATACATTGTTTGATTTCTTGACTGCTGCTTCCATGAGTGTTGATAGCAAAATGAGGTCTCTGACAACTTCAATCTTTTCTCCATTGATCATAATGTTATTTATTAGTTCAGTTGTCAGGATTTTTGTTTTCTTCACATTGAGGTGCAGTCCATACTGTTGTCTTGGATCTTCATCAGTAAGAATTTTAAGTACTCTTCATTTTCTGCAAGCAAAGTTGTATCATCTGCACATCACAGGTTGTTAATAAGTCTGCTTCCCGTCCTGATGCCATGTTCTTCTTTGCATAATCCAGTTTCTTGGATTAGTTGCTCAGCATACAGAATGAATGAGTATGATGAAAGAATATCACCTTGGACCACACGTTTCCTGATTTTAAACCATTCACAAGACTGTACCTTGTGTGCACAATCAAGTGTTCTGGGATACCCACTCTTCGCAATGTTATTGATAGTTTGTCCTGACCCACACAATTGAAAGTCTTAGCAAAGTCAATAAAGCACAGGTAAATATCTTTCTGATGTTCTCTGCTTCCAGTCAATATCCATCTGATGTCAGCAATGATATCCCTCATTCCACCAGCTTGAGTTTCTGGAGCTCTCTGATGATGCACAGTTACAGCCATTCTTGTATCATTTTCAATAACATTTTACTTGCGTGTGATATTAATAATATTGTTTGATGACTTTTGGATTCTGTTGAATCACTTCTCTTTGGAATGGGCACAAATACAGATCTCTTCCAGTTGGTTGGCCAGGTAGCTGTCTTCCAAATTTCTTGGCATTGGTGAGTGAGCACCTCCAGTGCTTCATCAGTTTGTTGAAAGATCTCAGTTTTTATTCTGTGAATTCCTGGAGCCTTGTGTTTTGCCAATACCTTTAGTGCAGCTTGGACTTCTTCCTTCAGTACCATCAGTTCTTGATCATATGCTACATCTTGAAATGTATGACCATTAATCCTTTCTTTTTGGTACAGTGTCTCTGTGTATACCTTCTATCTTCTTTTAGATGCTTTCTGCATCATTTAATATTTTGTCCATGGAGTCCTTCAATACTGTTGAGGTTTGAATTTTACGTCAGTTCTTTCAGCTTGAGAAATATTGAGCATGTTCTTCCCGTTTGGTTTTCTAACTCCAGGTCTTTGCATGTTTCATTAATGAGTGTCTTCTTGAACTGCCGTATGCAATTTTCTGCTCCGTTCTTTTACTTTCTCATTTTTTTCCAGTTGCTTTATGATAGATCTTGAAATGCTCTTTTTGGTGATGAATGCTACATCATTTGTCTTGAATTTGTCATTCCCAGTATTGTAAACCCATACATTTGTCAAAATCAAAATGGCCAATATCTATTCATTTCAGCTCACTACTGCCTACGATGTCGGTCTTTATGCATTCCATTTTGGTTGTAACAACTTCCAATTCTACTAGATTGATATTTCATGCATGCCATGTTTCTACTATTAATGGATGTTTGCAGCTGTTTCTCCTCATTTTTAGTTGTGCTCCATCAGTAAATGAAAGTCCAGAAAGCTTTATCCATTCATGTCATCACAGTCAACTCTACTTTGAGATGACAGCTCTCTCCCAATTGTATTTTGGGTGCCTTCCAACCTGACTAATTTTCTGGCCCTATATCTGAAAATGTTTCCACTGGTATTCATAAGGTTTCTAGTGGCTAAACATTCATAAGTGTCTGTCTCTTGGATAACTGTTCTTTTGGATTTTCTATTTCCTTATTGGTTTAGATTCCTTCATATAGTCTACATATAGATCCTTTATCAATCATATGTATAGCAAATATGTTTCAGAGTCCCTGGTTTGCCTTTTCATTTTCTTTATGGTTACTTTTGGTAAACAGAACTTAAATTTTAATGTAATCATGGTACTTCTTGTTTAAGAAAGCCTTTCCGACCCCAAGATCCTAAAGTCCCATTATTCCATTTTTTAAAAAGTTTTGCCTTTTACATTTCAGACTTCAATAAACCTAAAATTGACTTTTGGCTCTGTCTGGTGTGAAGCAGAAATGAAATTTCATTTTTTTTAAAAAAATATGGCTAACAAATTAGTCCAACCCTTCACTGATGTAGGGAGCATGGTGGCTCTGTAGGATACGCATAAGATTAACAGTTCATAACCATCAGATTACCATTAAGATTAAAAGTTCAAGTCCACCAGTCACTCCACAGGAGAAAGAGGAGTCTTTCTGCTCCTACAAAGATTATATAGGGTTGCTATGAATAGGAACTGACTAGAAAGCACTTAACAATGACAACAACCACACTGATGTATAATGTCATCTCTACCATTTATATCGTTTCCTTATATGTGTGGATCTTATTCCTAGGCTCTCTTTTCTGTTTCATTGATTAATTTGTTTAACCCTTTTCTAATGCTACAATCTAGTTATTGATGCTTTATAATAAACTGTGTCATAATGAACTGCTAGCAAATCACTCACCTTATTATTTATAAGTTTCTAGGTTATTCTCGGGCCACAGCTCTTTACCTGGCAGGTCCCTCAAAACCCCCTTGTTTTCATTTTGATTGGAATTGTACTTGTTTTGCTGGGTGCCGTGAAGTTAGTTCCAACTCACAGTGACCTTGTATAGAGTTTCTGAGGCTATAAACCTTTGTGGGTGCAGTAAGTCTCATCTTTCTCCCTCAGAGCAGCTTAAACCACTGACCATGTGGTTTGCAGACCATTGTTATACTATAGAACCACTGCACTCCGCATTCCCAGAACTGTACTTAGTCTATGTTGTTGTTAAGTGCCGTCGAGTCGATTCTGACCCATAGCTACACTGTATAGGGTTTCTGAGGAGCAGCTGGTGATCTTGAACCACGAACCTTGCAGTTCAAATGCTTTGCAGTCTGGCACATTAACCCACAGCACCACACCAGGACTCCGTATTTCGCTGTATCTACCCATTTGTTCAGATAAAATGATTAAGTTATTCACTTGTTGACATCGCTTCGATGTTTTAAAAACTCTTTAATGATTTGTTGATACAGGTCTTAGTAGAAACGTAGACTGGTGTTACAAAGAAGCCAATCAGTTGCTTCTGTACTGTACCAGTAACAGTAAAGCATATGGCAAATTCTGAATTAAGTGCTCATTATAATTATATAAATCAGATTATTAGAGCTTTTCTCTTAGTGATAACGAAGCCATCAGCTCAGATAATACATTATCTAAGCATCTATGTGTGACACTGTAGGATCAGCACTGTACTATTAACTACAAGGTCGGCAGTTCAAACCCACCAGCTGCTCCTCGGAAACCCTATACAGGGTCGCTATGAGTCAGAATTGACTGATGGCACTAACAACAACAACAAGCATCTACTAAGAAGCCTTGGTGGCACTGTAGGATAAGCACTGGACTGCTCCCATAGAGATTACAGCCTTAGAGACCCTATACAGGGGTCCTATAAGTATGAATCAACTCGATGGCAGTGAGTTAGGTTTGGTATTTATTGATATGGTAAGTCCTTCTTCGTTGTACATTTAAAAGTATTTTCACCCAATGAGTCACCATTGATGCAATGACAGTGAGTGTTAAGTACCTAGTGTTATATATTAAGGGCCGTCGAGTTGGTTCTGACTCATGGTGCCCCTGTACAGGGAAGCTGAGGGAGGAGCAGCTGGAGAGTTTGAACTGCCGACCTTGAGGTTCAAAGCAACCTTGCAGTATATACTGCTCATCCTACAGTGAAATGTTCTGCTTGTTGGTCCATGCTGATTTCATAATAAACAGAAGAAACAAATTATGTTTAAGAAAATAGTCCAAAAGCAAACTGCTTAAACATAAAAATACAGGAAAATACAAAAGCTATAGATCTATAATGTGAATAACTGGGTTTGTTATGGTCTTAATTTGAAATATCTAGTTTTATAATTGATAAGAAGAAATATATTATTGTTTTGGAATAGTTGTGGCTATAGCACAAAATTACAATTTTCAATGCTTGCAAGTTGACCCTGATTTTACGCCTTACAGAAAAGCAAAGTCTTGTAATAATACCATATATACTTAAATGCAGGAGCTTGTCTGAATAACAGTGATAAGACATTCTACAGGTCAAGACAGTTTTTAAATACCTCAAGGACTGGTGTTATCAGACTCCATGTGTTAAAAAAAACAACAATGTGTCTATATTGTTTTTACTTCAGCCAATTAAAAAACATACTATCTCATATACAAAAAAATGAGCTGAATTAAGCCTGGATATTTGACTAACATTTAATTTTTTAAAAAAGAATACCATCTTTGAGATTATATATTCAATATAATGCAATTCTTGTTCCTCTTTGTATAATGATAATCTAGCGATGATAATAGCTATTTTTCCTCTAAAAAATACCCAGAATATATTTTAAAATCACTCAAAGATGCATAAACTTTTTGCAGATTTTTAGGACAGATATTATTAACTTATGGGGATGGAGAGGAAAACTCCTAACAAGGCACAGAAAATGGATAATATTGTCTTGTGACAAATATTAGATGTGATATAAAGTACGATAGTCTGATTATAAAATTAGTAAAGCTTATTCAGAAAGAATTGTATGTAAACTAGCAATTTGTATTGAATACCAATAATTACATAAAGTTAAACACCAACAATTTGTTTATGAAAATGGTATTTGAGACTTTTGGAAATTTACCAGTAAAGGAAGTTATAAAGGTGAAACATATAACAAATAGAAACAAATATTATTTCTATTCCTATAAAACAAGTTAATGAGTTATTTTTTGGCTAACAAAAATTTTTTTTTTTAATAACCTAAAGTTTCTAAGTAAAATAGATTAGATATAATCCATTGGAAATTTTAAGATTCTGTGAACTAGTCCATATTTTCTTTTTTTTTTTCCCTCCTCCTTTATCCTGAGGAAAATACATAATACATTCATAAAGTGCCTTGGAAGATATCACATTAGATACTGGGACTAGAGAGACAGTACACACAACTACTGCTGTCAAAAAATTTACAGTGTAGTGGCGAGGCCAGATAATGGAAAAAGCAATTGCCATTTAGAATAAGTACTATGCCAGAATTATACTCAAGATGCTTGGAGAGACAGGTCACTGTTTTCAGGAAGGAAAAATGGGGAAGGTAAAGAAGCTTCTATAACATTTGTAGTGAGTCTTGAAGGATGGGAATATTTAGCTAGACAAAGAAAGAGAGAAGAAGATTCCAAGTAGAGATACACCATCCTAAAGGCATAAAGGTAAATAACACCCTTTGCATTTAAGGAAGCATAAATCAGATAATATGGCATCATACTTATCCATTTCAACAGGAGACAGTCTACTGGATAGGAAAGTGTCAAACTGGAAGCAATGCATTGATTGGGAAGCTACTGCGGGAATTAGTCAAGCGATGATGCAGGTCAGAAGTAAGGGACTATCTAAGGGGTAAGCGGAAAGAGGTATGGTGCAAATGCTGCAGGATTCCTGCGCTACTGCTTTCGAAACTGAATAGCATTCTCAAAACAAAAGACCTGATGGAAGTCCTAAAATGATGTTGGAAAAGAAAACTCGAGTTCAATATGGAAACATGAGCAGCACCAGGAGACCTTAAATTCACTTCGTTTCTAGCCACCGCGCCTTCTTGCTAACTTAGAGCTCTTTTTGTTTCTGTATTTATATTGTTGGCTTTGATTCAGTGGCAGGTATGGAATCGAGGGGATAGCAAAGGAAAATAAAAACAGAACTGAAACTACGAGTGAGAAATGCTACTGTAACTATAATACTTAGCTATTGTGACTCCTGACTACTATTTCTAAGAAATACTATTTCTAAGACAAAGGTCAAAGATTTTAAATAACCATATTTTCTCATTTAGATTTCAAATATGTTTGCAAGTGATTAAAAATGATAAAATTACTCATCAATGTCAGAAAAAATCAAGCACTATGAATACAATGTTTTTCTTACCAGAATGGAATGCATTCCCATGTAAATTCTGCTTAGGGAAACCAGAGAACACCAACAGGGAATAAGGATCAGTCCATATGTAAGAGGATACTAAAAGATAAAAAAAACCATGAGTATTATTAAATAAATTAAGGATAAACAAGCAAATAAAAAACTTACCACTATTTGATTAAGCCCCATTAGGGTAAGAACTACGTGTTTTTATTCCCCATTATATTCCAGGCACCTAACTGGGAGCACAGGAGCACTGGTGATGCTGAGGGTTAAGCGTTGGGCTGCTAATAACTATAAGACTGGCTGTTCAAATCCACCAGCTTTTTCACAGAAGAAGAGGTTGTCTGCTCCTGTAAAGGTTTAAAGGTCTTAGAATTAGGAACTAGGACTATCACTGCTGATGTCAGATGGATCTTGGCTGAAAGACTTTACTTGTACTTTATTGACAATACAAAGGTGTGTGAATGTGTGAGTCATGACAAAGTATAGATAACAATGCAAAGAATGAGTATTCCAGACACTTAATTGTGCTAATGAGGAACCTGTACACAGACTAAGAGGCAGTTGATAGAACAGAACAATGAGATACTAAATGTTTCTAAATCAGGAAAGATGTGTATGTCAGGGTTGTATTTTTTCACCATAGTTCTTCAATCTGTATGCTGAGCAAATAATCCAAGAGCTGGATTATATGAAGCAGAACATGTCTTCAGGATTGGAGGAAGACTCATTAACAACCTGTGATATGCAGATAACACAACTTTGTTTGCTGGAAGCTAAAAGGACTTGAAATGCATACCTATTAGGATCAAAGACCACAGCCTTCAGTATGGACTGCACTTCAATGTAAAGAAAATAAAAATCCTCACCACTGGACCAATAAGTAACATCATAATAAATGGAGACAAGGCTGAAGTTATCAAAGACTTAATTTTGCTTGGATCCACAATTAATATTCATGTAAACAGCAGTTAAAAAAATCAAATGATGTATTGTATCAGGCAAATCTGCTGCACAAGACCTCTTTAAAGTGTTCAAGAGCCAAGATATCAGTTTGAGGGCTAAGGTATGCCTGATCCAATGCATGGTATTTTCAATAGCCTCATGGTGGTGGTTATGTGCTGTGGAGTTGGTTCTGACTCATAGTGACCCTGTACAGGGTTTCTGAGGCTGTAAATCTTTATGGGAGCAGTAAGCCTCATCTTTCTCCTGTGGAACAGCTGTAATTTTGAACTGCTCACCTTAAGGTTAGCAACCTGACTCGTAACCACTATGCTACCAGTTTCTTGAACAGCCTCATATGCATGTGAAAATAGAACAATGAATACAGAAGACTGTAGAATAATTGGGGCATTTGAATTATAGTATTGGAGAAGAATATTCAAAGTATCATGGACTGCCAGGTGAACAAACAAATCTGTCTTGGAAGAAGTACACTCACAATTCTCCTTAGAAATGAGTGGCAACACTTCATCTCTCATACTTTGCACATGTTTTCAGGAGGGACAACTCCCTGGAGAGGAACATCACAGTTGGTAGAGTAGAGGATCATTGAAAAAGAGAAAGATTCCCCAAGAGACAGATTGACACAGTGGCAGAAACAGTGGGCTGATACATAACAACTGTGAGGATGGCACTGACCAGGGCAGTGTTTCATTCTATTGTGCAAAGGACTGCTATCAGTCAGCATTGACTCAAAGGCACCTAACCAACTTGAGGAAATTGGAGGCAAGGTGGTTGAAGAAGTAGGGGTAAAGAAGGAAGTTAAGTAAGATTATGAAAAGAGTTTTTGTTCTTCTTGTTAAGAGCTGTCCTAGTAGGTTCCAACTCATAGCAACATTGTAGGATTTCCGAGGAGTGGCTGGATAAACAGTCCAGTGCTTGTCCTACAGTATCACACCAAGACTCCACAGTAGTAAGGATTTATTAAACAGTTGTACTAATTGGACTTCTCTATTAGTAGCGTAGTGGTTACGAATCGGGCTGCGAACCGTGAGGTCAGCAGTTTGAAACTACCAGCTGTTACGTGGGAGAAACATGAGGCTTTCTGCTCCCATAGAGATTTACACCCTCAGAAACCCTGTACAGGGTCGCTATGAGTCAGAGTCGACTCTAAGGCACATAACAACAACAACAACTATATTTAGCATGGCCCACGACTGACAGACAACAAGGCCAGGGCAGACTGTGGAATAGACCATCAATTACTCATATGCAAATTCAAACTGAAGCTGAAGAAAATGAAAACAAGTCCACAAGAGCCAAAATATGACCTTGAATATATCCCACCTGAATTTTAGAGATCATCTGAATAACAGATTTGATACATTAAACACTAAAGATCAAAGACCAGAAGAGTTGTGGGATGACATTAAGAACATCATACACGAAGAAAGCAAAAAGTCATTGAGAAGACAAGACAGAAGGAAAAGGTCAAAATGGTATCAGAAGAGACACTGAAACTTGCTCTCCAGCATAGAGATGCTAAAGCAAATGGAAGAAATGAGGAGGTCCAAGAGCTGAACAGAAAAGTTCAAAGATCAGCTCAAGAAGATAAAGCCAAATATTACAACAAAATGTGCAAAGTTCTGGAACCAGAAAACCAAAAAGGAAGAACACATTCAGCATTTCTCAAGCTGGGAGAACTGAAGAAAAAAATTCAAGCACCGACTTTTGTTACTGAAACATTCTCTGGGCAAAGTATTGAATGATGAAGAAAGCATCAAGAGAAGATGGAAGGAATATACAGAGTTACTGTACCAAAAGGAAACGGTTAATGTTCAGTTGTTTCAAGAGGTAGCATATGTTCAAGAGCCAATGATACTGAAGGAGGAAGTCCAACGTGCATTGAAGGAATTGACAAACAGGAAGGCACCTGGAATTGATGGAATAAAAATTGAAATCTTTCAAAAAAGTGAGGCGGCACAGGAGGCACTCACTCATCTCTGCCAAGAAATTTGGAAGACAATTATCTGGCTGACTGATTAGAAGAGATCCATATTTGTGCGCATTCCAAAGACAGGTGACTCAACGGAATGTGGAAATCATTGGACAATCTCTTTGATATCCCATGTGAGTAAAGTTTTACTAAAGGTAGTACAGAAACGGCTACAAGCATACATTGACATAGAACTTCCAGAGGTTCAAGCCAGATTCAGAAGAGGGATATCATTGCTGATGTCCGATGGATCTTGGCCGAAAGCAGAGAATATCAGAAAGATGTTTACCTGTGCCTTATTGACTATGCAAAGGCTTTCAATTGTGTGGATCACGACAAGCTATGGACAACATTGCAAAGTATGAGTATTCCGGAACACTTAATTGTGCTCATGAGAAATCTGTACCTAGACCAAGAAGCAGTTGTTTGACCAGAATATGGGAACACTGAATGTTTTAAAATTAAGAAAGGTGTGCGACAAGGTTGTATTCTTTCACCATACTTATTCAACGTGTATACTGAGCAAATAATCTGAGAAGCTGGGTTCTATGAAGAAAAACGTGGCATCAGGATTGGAGGAAGACTCATTAATAACCTGCGATATGCAGATGATACAACTTTGCTTGCTGAAAGTGAAGAGGACTTAAAATATTTACTGATGAAGCTCAAAGAGCACAGCATTTGGTATGGATTACATCTCAATGTAAAGAAAAAAAAATCCTCACCACTGGACCAGTAAACACCATTCTTATCAATGGAGAAAAGACTGAAGTTGTCAAGGACTTCATTCTTCTTGGATCAACTATCAACAGTCATGGAAGCAGCAGTCAAGAAATCAAACAACGTATTGCATTAGGCAAATGTGCTGCACAAGACCTTTTTAAAGTGTTGAAGAGCAAAGATGTCAGCTTGAGGACTAAGGTGCGCCTGACCCAAGCCATGGTATTTTCAGTAACCTCATATGCATGTGAAAGCTGGACAGAGAATAAGGAAGACCATAGAAGAATTGATGCTTTTGAGTTATGGTGTTGGAGGAGAATACTGAAAGTGTCATGGACTGCCAAAAGGCACAACAGATGTGTTTTGTTAGAAGTGCAGTCAGAGTGCTCCTTGGAGGCCAAGATGGCCAAACTTCGTCTCTCATACTTCAGACATATTGTCAGGAGGGACCAGTTGCTGGAGAAGAATATCATGTTTGGTAAGGTGGAGAGTCAGAGAAAAAGAGGAAGACCTCCAATGAGATGGATTGGCCAAGTAGCAGCATCGATGGACTCAGGTGTGGCAACAGTAGTGAGGATGGCCCAGGATCGGGCAAGTGTTTCATTCTGCTGTGCATAAGGTAGCTATGGGTCAGTACCAACTCGACGGCACCTAACAACAACAATGACTAACAGATGGATGGACAAACAGAAAGAATATTCCTTGTCAGTCACCTTTATTTGTTCTTCTTTTCCTTCACAACTTTTACTGGTGTTCCCCAGGCCTTACTTCTAGGGACACTTCACTTCCCAATTTGTATTCATTCTCCCAGTTCGGCACTGTAGGGTCAGCACAGGATTGCAAACCACAAGGTCAGCAGTTCAAAACCATCAGCTTCTCTTCGGAAACCCTATACAGGGTCGCTGTGAGTCAGAATCAATGACTTAACAAGAAAAAATTCACTCTCTTGATGATCTCATATACTCTCAGGGCTTTATATCCAATCTACATGTTCGTGAGTGTTACATTTCTGCCTTTAGTTTAGACAACTCTCCTGAATCTCAGACTTGTAAATCCAACTGCCTACTTGCTATTTTCTTTGGATACCTAGTGAATCTATGTAACAAAGTAGAACTGCCTCACAGGGTTTCCTAGGTTATAATCTCTAAGGGAGCAAGTTACAGGCATTTTCTTCCATGGAGGAGCTGGAGGGTTCAAACTGCAACTTTTCAGTTAGTAAGTGGGCACTTAACTATTGCACTACCAGGGTTCTAACAGATACCAGAAATGTCTAATAGGCATCTTTAATGTAACATGGCCAAATCAGAACTAATTTCTCTCCTAAGACCTTCCCATCCTATCAGTTATTCTTACAACTGTCTCCTTAGTAAATTACTTCTCCAATGTTCCAGTCTTAAGGCCCAAAACCTTGGAGTTATTCTTGACTTCATCTCTTTTA